CCCAACGCAAACTCCACGTAAAGTAAAGAAAAGAAAAATGTTGTCTAGTGCCACCAAAAGGTCAAAATTGGAGTCAGACAGGCGGGAAGGCATTCAACAAATGGAGAGATCTCCGGTCTGCTCTTGGTCTCAAACGGGATCCTCAGTTGGCTTTTTTCTTGATAAAACGGTAAGATATAGCCCAGTCTCTAATGTTTGATACGGCCAATCTATGTATGACTACAAATGACGATGCGTAAAATGTGTAATGCTTTAGCGTAAGCTAGATACATATACAATCAGAATTGGTTTTACTACCATTGTTAGTGAACAGTTTCATAAACTAGAAATTGTGTTCGGAAGAATAGTACAACATGAAACATAAAACATATCCACAGGCGCGCTGGAAGCTGTTTCATGCGAGGGGGGCTGAGGGCTGGGTTGGAAAATATGTGACGTCATTGTGTTATGGCTGACGACAAGACATGACATTTCTCTGTATATGTTGTAGCCATTAAAGAAAACATATTTAGTTTCATATTTATGTTTAAATATTATAGGCTAATGTTATTTTTTATTTAATCAATGTTGATTATGAAAGTGAGCGCGCAGCGTGAGAAAGACATGATACATGAGATCATGAGATACCCAAAATGTCTGGAGACATGTCACGAGGAGTGGGTAAGACATGATTTTTACCTTCACTAAGTTTTTTTATTGTTGTTGTTGTAGAAAGACTCTTTTAAAAATATTTTTGTTTAGTATAAATTGTATCTTAATTTTGATATGTTTTATCAAACAATTGCCTGTATTTAATAGCTAAATAAGAAGCAAATATAGCAGACAATGTAAGGCGCCGGCGATCACTGCATTGCACGTAAACTGGAGGGCGCCGAAACTCAGCTTGTGCCTCACAGATTTTATAAATATAGGATATATATTAGCTTGAAATGTCTTCTTTTAAACGAAACTATTCAAAACGAAAAGAAATAGACTAGGCCTACTCTCTGATTATGTAATCAAATGTGCATTTCTCTCTGGCGTTCATGGCGAGTCCGCATAACTTCATCTTTGCAGCGACACAGAAAACACCTGTTTATTAATAAACAATTAAATGTCTCCTTGCTATTTTTGACTCATTAATAATCATTACTTTCGCCGGTTCTTTGTGGCAAGGTTTATGAGTGCGGGCGTGCGCTTGAGTGCGGCTATATTAGGCTACGTAAACGCTCATCCTGTAGCCTATTTAAGTGATTAAATCAATATAAAGGGGCGATGTGTCCACAGTGGCTAAAATGAACAACTACTAATCGACTAGAAGAAAACTTTAGTCGGAGGCAGCCCTTATTCCACATATTTTCGAACCAGAAGGCCATTCTGGGTTGAGCGCGCGACCCTGAGCAGAATGAGCGAGCGGAGGGATTCAGAAATGCGCTCTCCGCTCACATGCTCTGATCTGAACAAACTAAGCATGACAAATTCAAACTTTATTTCATTTTCTCCGTAGCTTGAACACTCAAACACAGCATGTCTATTTTCATTTTTTCCCCCACGTTTTTTAGTACAATATTATGTTAGTCCACAGCCCCCACCAAGGGGGCTATGGCTATGACGAGGGGGGCTGCAGCCCCCGCAGCACCCCCCTTCCCGCGCTACTGCATATCCAATAAAAGATGCGTGTGGTCCATGAGCGTGCACAACTCTGTTTGCAGTTTCGCTTGTCGCCAGAGGGGGCGTAGTTTTGCAAAAACTCAGAGACTTGCTTTTTGCACCTTTAACTACCAAAATCTGTCTTTTAACCTTAAAATTTGGCCATAACACCACAATAAGACAGGTGGCACAATAGAAAGCCATAAGATGAATCATAGTTCATCAGAAGTGGCAGGTTCATGAAACATGGTCAATACTCGTGTGTATATACGGTGCATAGTGTCACTTACAAAACCATCAGGCTAACACACATCACACAGTTCAGCAATTAACATTAATATAGTATTTGTACAGGATTTTTCTTTAAAAACTACAAGCATGTTTTTCCAGTGCAGGGTTAAAGACGTTTCTGTTTCACACGACTGCAGGCCCGTTACTGCTGCCCGTTTTTAGAAAGCCCCAAAATACTACCTGGACACATCACACACTCGCACCTGCCTCACTCGGTACATGTCCCTGGTTGATGCCCAGGTGACACACACACACACACAGAAATGCACATGCAGAACACTTCTGTTTGCTCATCCTTGTGTTTTTCCCCTGCTAGTTTGGGTTATTTTAATCTGAGCGTCTTTGGGCAGAAAACTAGGCCTTTCCCATGGTGCCCTTCTCTCTCTTTCTTATACGTAAGCTTCATGAGAAGCTGATGTGGTGTTTGCTAAGACAAGAATCCCTATACTCTCTCTCAGATTTAGTGATATGATCAAACCCCTAACAGTAGTATTAACTCTGGTGTGTAATTCTTCCTGCAGTGTTTTCACTATGAATATGAATGATGCTTCACAGACGCACACTGAAGGAGGAACCGAAGATCACACACACTGGAGGCTGCAGGACTCACTTCACTTTACAAAAAAAGAAACCACCTAGAAATCACATAGAAACCTGTTAAAAACACACAGCAACGCCCTGGCAACCATCCACAACCGGAGGTGAGTTTCCCACAGACAAACAACACAAGGAAATAGTAAAATATATATTTTTACATGTATTATATTTAAGTGGATTAAAACCATTAGTATATTAATATTTGATGTTCTTGATCATCCTTTACTGGTAGTATATTAAAGTGGATTAATGTTTGTGGGTATGGATTTGCTTTTTTAATTTCATTTCAGTCTTTTGATTTAAGGAGTGAAATATGACCGAAACATTTTTTTTGTTAGTTTTTCCTTGTTACTGTGTGTGCGTGTGCGTATGTGTGTGCGTGTGTGTGTGTGTGTGTTAGGCCCACATCTGTTCTTTATTCTACTGTATGTATCTTTGAAACTCTATAATACAAGCACACACACACACACACACACACACACACACACACACACACAAGCACACACACACACACACACACACACACACACACACACACACACACACACACACACACACACACACACACACACACACACACACACACACACACACACATACACAGCTCCGGACACTGTCATCTCATAAAGCAACACAAATAAACAAAACAAGCTTTGACGGGACTAACACACACACACTGACCAACTCTTCGTCCTCTACCTTGTCATAAAGCATAAATCTGAAAGTTTGGAGGAGATGAGCATCCTTCAGATAGAGCACCTTTACTGTCAGCCAATCTCAATCTCTCTGGACAGACAGAGATTCACCTCTGAGAAGAGTTCATAAATAAATAAACAAGACCCTAAAGTCATCTGCTGATATTTCATGAGTCATAAAGTGATGTAACATGGAAACACACATGAAAACTTCATTTCAAAGTGCTGAAATGTTTTCAGTTGCTTATTTAGAAGGCTTTTAATTTAAATACACAGCATTTTTAATTTCTTAAAAGATAAGAGGTTCATAGATTTAATTTCCTCTTTGTGCTTCATTTCTTGTTTTTGCTTTGTCTATGTGTTTGCATGTTTCAGTTTTTCACAGCATATGGCCTGAGATTAAAAAATAATGACGGTTCCTTATGTGGTTCAGCTGGCAAAATATGGGGATTAACATTATAAGATCAGGCTTACAAATTTATTAAAATATGATAGAGACATATTTCAAAGGACCTATTTCAGGTAACTAACATAAAACATTTGCACTGATGAGTTTTATTGGATATACAGGCTTTAATGTCAGCTCCTTCTATTTAAAAGTTGATTTAAAAGTCCATTTGTGTCGCAAATAAATGCTTTATTTTGCCAACTGCCTTAAGGTGATGATACACACGGCAACTTTTTGAGCAATGCTGCTGGGCAATGTTGCCATCAACGGGCAACCAGACGAGACACAGGGCCCACGACCGATCTAAATTATCCAGATAGAAATGTATTGCCCATTTTCAATGGGAAAGTGCCCAAGCAACAATCGCTCAAAAAGTTGCCCTGTGTATCATTACCTTTAGAGTGTAAAAGTGTACATTTACGCATGCGATTCCCTGACCTGGGCATGTTTGTGTCTGGCTGCGTAACATGACCTGGTGTAACCCATCAGTGTGTATGAAGTTATGACTTAATAACTGATCTGAAGCCTGTGAATGGCTGCAGACTGGATGACGATCATCATGATTACACGTCTGAAGCGCCTTCACCAGGGGAATGAATGACAGCTGCTCCAGCTCATAGTTCACACAGCTGATGCTCAGACACACACACACACACACCTCTTTACACACTATGACACAAATACAGGCGTCACACTGATGACAACATCATAGAATTGTTTAAAATCAAGACAATTACATTGACTCATGCACTTACAATGGTAGGCTGTGAGGCAAGTTAGGGTTTAACCTTTATTAAAACACATTTTCAGTAGAAATGTGTTTTTTTTTATATTATTATTATTTTTTTATCTGTAAACAGTCTAATTCTTCCTAATTGTCTAGGTGCAGGAACATCTGGTCATGCATTACTCATGTTGTTCCTGTTAATGAGGTTTTGCTGCATATAAAATATAAAAGCACTTTAGAGAGTACATCATACATATCCCTCACACAAATGCCACATGGAAGATGAGAAAATGGTTGAAGATGGATGAATTGGTAAGCTATTTATTTTATTTATTGTTTTATTACATCAGTCTCATACTAACAAATGGTTTTCTTTCCTGTTTTTCTAATGAAGCATGAAGTTGGGGCAGAAGATCTCTGTACTGTGTTTTTAAAATGCAGTGTCAATTTAAAAATAGTTCTGAAACCGATGGACCAATCAGGTGAATCTGGGGTAAGCATGTTTACATATGGATAGTTCACCCAAAAATTTATATTCTGTCGTCATTTACTCACCCTCAAGTTGTTCCAACCCTGTATGAATTTCTTTCTTCTGCTGAATATTGGGGGAAAGACTTAGGTAAAGTTGGTTTTATATTCGCACATTCGCACATTCGCGTTAAAGAACTTTTTCAATTAAATAGTCAATGAAGCAATTTTTTTTCAGATTCGAAGCAGCTACTTAATATTGACAACAAAGATTGTGAACTACAACATTTTCTACAATCAATCAAAATGGGTAAGTATATTTTTAATGCATACACACTTTGTTGAATATTCAATGTCGTGTGGTAACCAAGATGGGGACCGTCTAAAAAGTTTATATTGTTTTTCATCGTGTGCAAACAGACAACTACATTTTAGCCAACTACAGATGTACCAGCAAATATCTCTCACATTATGTGTTCTAATGCAATAGAATGTCCTTATAATGATGGTGTTTAAAAAGGTGTTTAGGAAATAATAAAGAATGAACATGTAGGCAACATGAACTGTAATCTGGTAACAATCCAGCCTGTAGAAAGTGGAAAATCATGTGTAATCTCCTGAACATAGTTAATCGCTTCATTTTACATCTGTTTATATTTATGTTTATTTATTTATTTGAAATTAAAATGAACAAGAACAGTGTTAGTGTTGGTTTTAATTATGACATATGATTTATTTCAATAGGTTTTGAAAGGATGGGCCGACTGTTCCAAAGCAAGTTGGATGGTCTTGTCTGGACCCTACAGAACACACTACAGCCCACGTCTTGCTGTTTTATCCACCTCGGTTTTTCTGTTTTTAAGTGTAATAAAGACTTTACAGTGTAACAGTGTTCTCCAGGTGCTGAATAAAAAGAATGGCCTAACAGTATTTTATGTTTTCCTGTTGTATAGCATCTTCAATTAACATTAAACTCTCACAATAACACAATTCGTGTGCATTGATTGATGTTTACAGTCCTGCAGAAATATCACTGTCCATGGTACTGAATCCATCAGATTATTGACAAGTACCCAGAAAGCATGACAGCAAACATGATGTTTATTTTGGGGGTGAAGGGTGTGGATTTTGGAATAAACTGCTGCTTCAATGTATATGTAATGAGTGATTATAATCAAGGTTTTCTTTCTAAATATTACATGAGTGGAATGACTTATCTAGGCATGTGAGATTTTACTTAGTTATAGGCTAGAAGTTACCAGTATGATTACTGAAATGTTTGTTTCATGTATTTTCTAATGTCTGTATTTGATATCTGAAAGCAGTAACAGTGCTTGCTCATTTAGTGATTCTGTGATCTTTGTAATGGCCTACGAACTCCTGTGAGAGTCTTGAAGCTGACTTCTGCTGATGAAACTGAAAACTATCTTCAGTAAATCTTTTCTTTATTATAATTCTGACTCCTGCTCTTCATTTCTTCATATCTGGTTCTGGGTCTTTGACTGTGCGCCCCTAACAGGTGAACATTTAAAAAACTAGCAAAAGTCCTATGGGGTTCTTCAATGGCACACCTTCCATCAAAAAATATTACATTATCTAAATGTTTTTATTACTGTAATGGCCGAAAACAGTAACTTCTTTACTTCATGGATGTATAGAAGAATGATTTGCTTTAAAAGAACATTAAAACTATTAAACAAAGTACAGTTTTGAAAATATCTCCCTTACTGTACGTACAATTATCAAATGTGTATTAAAAAAATGACTGTATTTCCCCTAAAGTATTCTTTTCGTGTTTCAAAGGCTGTAGTGCTTTCCTAGTGACCACACTGACTTACTACAGCTGAAATTTCCACAATAACTCCCATACTGTACGTACAATTATCAAATGTTTATTAAAAAAATGTCTAATTCCCCTGGCCTAAAGTATTCTTTTCGTGTTTCAAAGGGTGTAGTGCTTTCCTAGTGACCTGACTGACTTACTACAGGTCAAATTTTGACAATAACTCACATACTGTACGTGCTATTGTCAAATATGTTTATGAAAAATTAACTGTATTTCCCCTAAAGTATTTTTTCCCGTTCCAAAGGCTGTAGTGCTTTCCTAGTGACCACGCTGACTTACTACAGGTGAAATTTTGACAATAACTGCTTTACTGTACGTACAATAAACTAATAAGTTCAAGAAAAAATTACTGTAATTCTCCTAAAGTATTTTTTCCCGTTTCAAGGGCTGTAGTGCTTTCCCAGTGACCACACTGACTTACTACAAGTGAAATTTTGACAATAACTCCCTTACTGTACGTACAATAAACTAATATGTTTATGAAACAATTACTGTAATTCCCCTAAAGTATTTTTCCCCGTTCCAAAGGCTGTAGTGCTTTCCCAGTGACCACACTGACTTACTACAGGTGAAATTTGGACAATAACTCCCTTACTGTACGTACAATAAACTAAAATGTTTATGAAACAATTACTGTAATTCCCCTAAAGTATTTTTTCCCGTTCCAAGGGCTGTAGTGCTTTCCTACTGATCAGACTGACTTACTACAGGTGAAATTTTGACAATAACTCCCTTACTGTATGTACAATAAACTAATATGTTTATGAAACAATTACTGTAATTCCCCTAAAGTATTTTTCCCCGTTCCAAAGGCTGTAGTGCTTTCCCAGTGACCACACTGACTTACTACAGGTGAAATTTGGACAATAACTCCCTTACTGTACGTACAATAAACTAAAATGTTAATGAAACAATTACTGTAATTCCCCTAAAGTATTTTTCCCCGTTCCAAAGGCTGTAGTGCTTTCCTAATGACCAGTGATACTCACTTCAGGTGAAATTTTGACAATAACTCCCTAACTGTATATACTATTATCAAATAGGTTTATGAAAAAATTACTGTAATTCACTGTAAGTATTTTTTAGTGTTCCAAAGGGTGTAGTGCTTTTCTAATGACCAGTGTGACTTACTCCAGGTAAAAATTTGACAATATCTCCCTTACTGTACGTACTATTGTCAATTATGTTTATGAAAAATTAACTGTAAATGACCGTAACTATTTTTCTGCGTTCCAAAGGCTGTAGTACTTTCCTAGTGACCAGTGTGACTTACTACAGGTGAAACTTTGACAATAACTCACATACTGTACGTGCTATTGTGAAATATGTTTATGAAAAATTAACTGTAAATGACCGTAACTATTTTTCCACGTTCCAAAGGCTGTAGTACTTTCCTAATGACCAGTGTGACTTACTACAGGTGAAATTTTGACAATATCTTCCTTACTGTATGTACAATAATCAAATATGTTTGTGAAACAATTACTGTAATTCCCCTAAAGCATTATTTTCATGTTTCAAAGGTTGGAGAATGTTCCTAGTGATCAGACTAACTTACTAAAGGTTAAATATTGCCAATACCTGCCTTACTGTAAGTACAGTACATACATATTTTTTATGAAAAAATTACTGTAATTCACCTTAAGTGTTTCTTTATGTTCCAAAGGTTATAGTATGTTCCTAGTGATCACTCTACTCAATTAATTTTGATAAATGTATTAGATAAAAGTAGGTATTAGAACTGCTGTTCCTGGTACAACACATTTCGTTCATTGATTAAAAACTGTAAAGATTTTAGCTTAATCATATTTTTAACGTTATAAATAAGCAACAATCTTATTGTAATGATTCAAATCTGGAATCCATTGCTGCTTCAATGTATATCTAATGAGCTAATTTAATCAAGGTATTAATCAATATTTTCCTTCTAAATATCAAAGGAGTTGAATGACTTCTCTAGGCTTATGAGATTGTACTTTGTTTTAAAATGACCAGTGTGATTATCTAAAATGTTATTTCATGTATTCTCTGTATTGAAAATCTGAGAGGTGCACTGTAAAACCCAACACGTTATGCAAACTCATTTCAGTTGAGACCGATTACCTCAATTCAATTAAGTTTAAAAAACAATAGTTATGAGTACTCTGAACTTATTTTAACCAAATCCACTAAAACAAGGATATTTCACAATACACAATTAAACTTCTGCATTCAAATATCTTGATATTTGATATTATATATTGAGTAAAAACAGTGAAATTACAAACTTTAAATGAACTTTTAAGTGCTTGTAGTTACTACTAGCTCACACTATCACACACAAAGTCAAATCCTTTAAGTTAAGCTAACTCATTACATTTGAGGACACCGATTACCTTAATTTAATTTTTATTTTAAGCAATTATTTAAGTGACTAATTAAGTAATGATTGAGCATTAGTGATGAACACCTGCTGTTAACAGGCAAAATCACTGAAGGAAAGAAAAACTTGAAATGCAAATGAGCTGCTGCTCCCAGCACAGGGGGCGGAGCCTCAAGAGGTTCCGTCCTTTTACCTCAAACAAACATGCACTGAAAATTTCAAAAACATTTAGCCTTTTATTGTCAAACCAGAGTCAGACATAGATGGAGTGACACAAGAAGAAGTGACAGAGGTTTAGAAGGTGATGATTTATTGAGTTTCGTTCAAGGTCACCATATTGGAGATTAGCAGTTGTTTTAGTTGGACTTTTGACCCTTGCAAATTAGTTTGTCTTTGGCTGCTGTAACTCATGTGTATATAAAACACATTTGTTATGGCACAAAAGTCAAAAGAAAATATGATCAGTTGTCAATGGTTGTGCTTTGATGATGAAAATCCTCATTAAATGACATGATGACTGAACTTTTACAGAGTCTAATCTCTGATTAAACAAGTGATGTATTATTAGGTTTGCCTATTTATTTAAATTCAGAATTGGATAAAAGAAAGGATTTTACGAACAATTTTCGCACAAAAAGCTTTCATCTATTGCATTATTAAGACTAACACAGACATCAATAATCAGCATATGAATCTCAACAATGGTGACCATTAAAAAGTGATTCATGCCGCAATGCATGCTGGGAGCCATGGATACATTTTGTATTATGCTAGTACCCAGCATGCATTGCAGCATGAATCGTTATTTAATGGTCACCATTGTTGAGATTAATATGCTGATTCTTGATGTCTATGTTAGTTTTAGTAAAGCCATAGATGAAAACTTTTTGTGAACACTGCTTGTAAAATCCTTAATTGTATCTGATGTCATAACACTGCTGGCCCTTTGCTGTAAAATTACAGTTTTGAATAAAACTATAATTTGTCATCCTTTTTAATCAGATATTAGACACTGAAAGAAATCATTGAATCAGGTCACTACATGATGACTGACATCAACACTTAACCATCAACATCTGATCACATTTTCTCTTGACTTTCGTGCCATAACAAATGTGCTTTATAAACACACAAGTTTCACCAGACAGAGAAAATCTTGTCTTCAAAAGTCAAGGGTCAGGAACCCAACTAAAGCAAACGCTGATCTCCATCATGGTGACCTTAAACGAAACAATAAATCATCAAATTCTGAACCTCTGTTAATTCTCTTAAGAACTTCTGTAGACGTGCTAATAAGTGCTAATAAGAATAAGACTAGCCATTGCACACAGAGACCGAAATTGTCGTATGCGTTTTTTCGGATTCGTAATTCGGTGGCTCTGAATTGTCAAAACACCATTCAAACACCATTCACACTGCTTGCTACAGATGCGAAAAATGCAGAAAATCAAACCCGATCCGATTTTTTTTATTACGGACGAAAGTTTCGGAGGCAGTGTGCAAGCGTGATTGACATAACGTGAGGTCGTATTTATTTTTTAACATGCGGAAATTTCAGATGTGAATTTCGGACTCAGTGTGCAATGGCCTTAAAGTGCTGTTTGATGAGTTGTTTAACGACGTGCTGAGATCTTGAGACTTCATATCTTGTCATATCAGTTGATTTAGCTTAGACCTTGGTGAAGGGTATAATTGCTGATCTTTGTAACTGTAACAGAGCGGCCTACGAACTCCTTGTGAGTCTTGAAGCTAACTTTTGCATGATGAAACTACAAACTATCTTCAGTAAATCTTTCATTAATTTATTATAATTCTGACTCTTGTCTTAAATTGACTGACTAACTCCCTGGTTTTAATTAATCGTATCTGGTCCTTGGGTCTTTAACTGTATACAGTGGTAATCTATATTGCAACAAGGTGAGCACAACCATTGGGCATCTTTCCAGGTAGCTTGTCTGGTGATAATCCAAGGCATGGTACCAATATTTTGCACTGTTGCTGAAAACTGTGCTGAAAACAATATTTTCATTCAAACACACACATTTATTTTTATTCAATTTTTATTTTATCGTCACTTCACTTCACTAAAATATAGTAAAGTAAAAATGACGTGACAAAACAATCAGTTAAAGGGTTTATGATAATATAAGAACAACTTAAACCAAGAGAGTATCAACAACAGCAGAATTATGAAGAGGTGATATTGAAATATTACTCTAACCATGAGGAATTAATTACAACTTTTA